GTGTTGTAAAATTTAAAATTTTCTAAATTCAAAGTTTTTACATTTAAAGAAGACGTAAGCTTAACTGAAAATTAGTTAAGGTTACTTAACTTACAACAACTATCATTAATTATATTAAAATCTCAATATATTCCGGGAACATTTATACTGGGGTAGAGCTTAGTTTCTAATTTCAGATTCTTATGGAAATCAACGAAATCAGGTGGAATTGTGAGTAAGCCCGTCCCGGATAGAGTGTATTCGGTTAAATTGTTACTACACTCCACTGATAACTTAGTGAGTTTGATTTGAACAAAAATCCATTTGTTGTTGTATAGTTTATGCCATATATCCAGATCACCGGAAATTAGTCTAAATGGACAGTTATCTGGGATTGATATCAAGGCTTTCGTCATAATTTCTATTTCACAGGGTACATTATTGGATACTGTAGCTACATCTACAACATCACAAAGGTAGGTATTAGTCGGGATATTTTTACAATTATCTATGTCTTGTAGATAAACATAACTTGTTTTTTCTTTGCTTAACGCTACAAACTTTTCAGAAGGGATGATCACGGCAAAAGAGTTTGCTCTATCTTCAATATGTGGAGTTGGCAAAGGTAAGTTCTTATACATATTATATTCTATCAAGCTAACTAAAGGTACTTTTATGATAAAAATAAGCTTATTGTCTAAATAATAACATACTAAATCCACAATGTTAATTAAAGTATGAATTTTGCTTAATACTAGAGATATTGGAAAATCTTTGTATTTTAGCATAATTCTTAGTTTACTAATTATATCATTATACATTTGAGTTGGGATTAGTATAGATGGATGTAAGGTGTTGGTTTTTTACAAATAAAATTGAGTTTAACAAATCTTCGACTTTGAAGGACATTGTTAGTAAATTAAATTGCGAGGTATTTAAAACATTGGATAGTGTCGTTTGAAAACTGAGTATATTTAGCATTTCAGATGCATTTTTAACAGTAGAATATAAGAGTTAAGTGACGCTATTTAACTTTATTTGATCACGAGGATAGAATTAAGGCGGAGCTTCTGAAAGCGGGTGGAAGACCGGTACTTAAAGTCCTTAAGAGGCTCTTTAATTCCGTCCTCCATGGTGGCATTACACCGGAGGCGTGGTGCAGAAGTGCGGTGGTCTTGCTCTTTTAGAAAGGTGACAACGCTCTCTTGAAGAACTACAGACCGATTTCCTTTCTGAGCCGCGTCTACGTGCTGTTTTCGAGAGTCATTACGAATCGTCTCGCGCGCAGACTTGACGACTTCAAGCCTCCCGAACAAGCCGGTTTCCGAAACCACATACATACCCTTCGGCAAATTGTACAGAAGTCCGAAGAGTACAATTTGGCACTATGTCTGGCGTATGTGGACTATGAGAAAGCATTTGCTTCCGTCGAAATTTGGGCAGTGCTGCATTCCCTTCAGCGGTGCCAAGTTGACTGTCGGTATATTGAAGTGCTGAAGTGTTTGTACAGTAGAGCCACGATGGCTATCCCAGTGCAGAACCAGAGTACGAAACCTATCCAATTGCAGAGAGGTGTAAGACAGGGTGACGTTATATCCCCGAAACTCTTCACCGCTGCATTGGAAGACGTTTTCAAGCTTCTGGACAGGAAAGGATACGGTATTAACATCAATGGCGAGTACATCACTCACTTTTGATTTGCCGACGATATAGTCCTTATAGCAGAATCGCTGGAGGACCTAAGCACCATGCTCAATGACCTCAATAGTGTCTCTCAACGAATAGGTCTTAGGATGAACATAGACAAAACAAAGATCATGTTTAATGTCCATGTCACACCTATGCCGGTAGTTGTTGGGAGCACTAAGCTCGACTTTGTTGACGAGTAAGTTTACCTGGGACAAATAGTCCAACTAGGTAAGTCCAACTTCGACCGAGAGGTCAATTGACGGATTCAACTCGGCTGGGCAGCGTTCGGGAAACTACGACACATCTTCTCGTCAGACATACCTCAAAACTTTAAAACGAAATTGTACAACCAGTGCGTGTTGCCAGTGATGACTTACGGATCTGAGACGTGGTCGTACACTGCTGGCCGTATGAGGAATCTCAAGGTCGCTCAACGAGCTATGGAGAGGGTTATGCTCGGGGTTTCTCTGCGTGATAAACTTAGAAATGAGTATATCCGCAGTACAACCAGAGTAACCGACATAGCCAAACAGATTAGTAAGCTGAAGTGGCAGTGGGCCGACCATATAGCTCGAAGAACCGACAACCGATGGGGAAGAAAGGTTCTTGAGTGGCAGCCTCGTACCGGTAGGCGAAGTGTAGGGCGACCCCCCACGAGATGGAGTGACGACCTGGTAAGACATGCAGGAAGTCGATGATTGCAGGTGGCTCGGGACCGTGCTTTGTGGCATTCCTTGGGGGAGGCCTATGTTCAGCACTAGACTTATGAAAGGCTGTAATGATGCATGATGATGATGATTGTCATTTAATTCCTCCAGGGATTTATTAACATTAGAAATAGCGGATTTAGAAACTAAGATATGCTTTTTGGTAGACTCTGCTAGTTTATTTTCGTTATTAACTAGAGCATGAATAGCTTTGTTGTAGTTTTCAGCGTCATCTTCATCCAGTGTGCCGAAAATGTGTTTAAATACCGTGCCAATACCTGAGAACCAGGCTCTTGGACATACCGTTTAAGATAATTTGGGAAATCGCATTAAAATCTCTTAAGATGTCGTTGTAAAGTGCTTCTAGGTGTTGTAACATATTTTAACACTGAGTATAATCTATGTCGGAACTGTCACGACACTGAAATCGGATTATTTTAAATAATTCATTAATGTTTTCCAAATGGTGTCGGATTGGATGTACGTCTACCGGAATAACGATGTGAAATTGATCATTAATTATCCTCAATGTACCAACAGAGTCGAAGAATATACCAGGGCTCTTGTCGATGCGTTCAATATATTGACCATTGCCGGTTGCAAGAATAATAGCACAAAATGCGGTGGCGTTTCTGTAAATAATAATTAAGAGCTTACTAAGTCTAGATTGTATAATAACGTGTATATAATGTAAAAGAAAAGTGTATAAATGAATTGTAAGTGTTAAAATATATGTCTTAAAACGAATGTAATTTTGATATTTAAGAACTTATGAGCGTGTTTCACTTCATCGAAGTGGTGTTTAACATGGCGTCTGTTAGTAAGGAGAGTAAGGGTATTATTACTGTGGACCTTGACAACTTTGTTGGGCGCCTTCCAAATGGGGGAGAGGGCTTTGCGAAGACGAAGATGATTTTTGATGTAGATGTAATCTCCTATCTTATATTTGACCATGCGAAAGTTTCTGTCGTAGTATGTTTTAGACCTTTCTTTTGAAATTTGTATACTTTGTTGGGCTTTCTCTCGAGACATCTTTAATCGATGCTGAAGCATTTTAATGTAATCAGGATAGGTAACATTACCTTTTGATTCGAAAATAGCATCGGCAATATATGGTTTGTGACCAAAAAAAAGTTCGTAAGGAGTGAGCTGAGTTGTTGTATAGACGTTACTGTTGTAGGCTAATATCACCGTATAGACGTATTTGTGCCAATCGGTTTGGTTTTCGTTCACGAAGGACTTAAGATAAACTTTCAAAGTGGCATGGCTCCTTTCGAGAGCAACTTGAGTCTGGGGATGATACGGAGAGGACCATATCTGTCTTATTTTTAAAAATTCACATGTACGTTTGAAAAGTTCAGCCGTATAATTTGTTCCTTGATCGGTAATTATGGATTTAGGGATCCCAAATTGTGTAATGAAGTGAACTAGATAGAGCTTCGCATATTTCTTCTGCGGTGACGTTGGAAATTGGATAGGCTGTAGAAAATTTGGTTAGATCATCTTGGAGAGTGAGTATAAATCGGAGTTTGTGAAAACCCGCTACGGGTAAGGGGCCTACTAAGTCTAGGCTTATATTCTCAAATGGGCGAGTAGAAGTGGTTGTGATTTGCATAGGAGACCGGTTAATCTTGCGTAACGGTTTATTTGTTTGGCAAAGTTTGCAATATTGTATATACCTCTCTATATCTGCGCGCATGTTTTTCCAATAATAACGTTCTTTAATTCTATTATACATTTTATTTGATCATAAGTGACCGGCTAATGGTTTTTCTTTTAGAATTTTCGATATCTCTGTTGGTACAGGGTATATTATGAAATTATGATGTATATTTATTGTTATATTTGTATTGTTATATAAATATATAAGCATGCCGTATATTTTGACAAACGAATGTTGTGCGAACAGATACTTTAAATCAGAAACTACGATTTCACTAATATTACTTGAAAGTATGTCGCCCTGGCGGCTTTTAAGGTTTTGAAGATTTTGGGATAGGAGCAGTCATCGAAATAATATACTTTTGTGAAGAGAAGATAATAAATTTTGCCCTTTGACTTCTTTTTTAAATGAGTGAAGTTCTCGTTCTTCGTTTAAGACCTCTGTGTCACTTAAACCGGAAAGAATATCCTCAAGGTAGGGATTTTATTCATCAAAATATATCAAGGTAGGGATAGATACGGGAACTAGGATTGTTTTGCAGTTGCTTTTTAAAAGGCTCTGATTATATTATTTTATGTAAGTATTAAATGTCTCATCCTTTTTAGAAAATTTTAAGGAATGTAGAGCAATCGTCGTTGCAATGGGCCAGGTTGTATTCGTTACAGGAATTTTGTGGGGATTTTGCGTCTAATGGAATTGAATCAGTGTGTTCGGGATTCAACTGTTCTGATGGACTGAAATTCAAGTCACCCAGTTCAATGAGTTCTTCGCGAATGTCTGAAGGATGTTCATGATCTTGAGTAGTTTGAGGTTCTTCGTGGGAGGTGGAAGGTTGCGGATCTGAGATAATATCATTTTGTACAACAGGATTGACAGGGAAACGGGATAATGCGTCGTCTGCGTTACTGTTAATTTTGCCCTTTTTCTAATTCTTCTAATTTTAGCCTCCACCTTACTAGTTTTTACCCCGGGTCTTTGCAGTTAAATAACCACTTAAGTGGGCGGTGATCCGTAATAATTTTAAAACGACGGCCATATAGGTATGGTCTAAATACTTTAGTGCCGAAAAGAATTGCTAAGCATTCCTTTTCTGTTATACTGTAGTTACACGCGGCTTTATTTAAAGTTCTTGAAGCATAAGCGACAGATCTATCATTCCCTATAGGACCTTGTGATAATATGGCCGAAATAGCAAAATTTGATGCATCACAATTCAACACGAGAGGCTTTGTGAAGTCTGGGTTGGCTAATATTGGAGCAGTAGTCAAACAATTTTTTAGAGTTTCGAAGGCTAGTTGTTGCTCATTTTGACAATCGAAAGGAACATTTTTCTTCAGAAGGTTTGTAAAAGGTTTTGCGATTTTGGACAGATTTGGTATAAATCTTGGATAGTATGACACTAATCCCATGAAAGATTTGATATCTTTTGGACATCGAGGTTGGGGAAATTGTTGATCAGCTTTGGTTTTCTCTTGATTTGGCTTTACCCTCTCGTTGGTAATGATATGACCAAGATATGATACTTTCTTTCGGAGAAATACGCACTTATCTGGTTGGAGCTTAAGATTGAAGTGTCGGAGTCTGTCAAAGACCCTGGAAAGATTATTTATGTGTGCTTGAAGATCATATAAGTAAATAATGATATCATCTAGGTAGACGAAGCACTGGAGTCCTTGCAGGCCAGATAGGGCAGTGTTCATCAACCTTTGGAATGTTGAAGGGGCGCTTTTTAGCCCAAAAGCCATCCTTGTAAATTCAAAGTGTTTTTGCGAGACACAGAAGGCAGTTTTAGAAGCGTTCTTTTCGGACATTCTTATCTGGTGGAAACCAGAAGCAAGATCTAAAGTGCTAAAGTATTTACATTTCTCTAACTGATCAAGAATTTCTGTTTTGTTGGGTATCGGATAGGAATCGCCCATAGTGATGTCGTTTAGATGGCGGTAATCTATGACTACGCGCCATTTACGTTGCCCGGACGCATCGATTTTCTTTGTAACTATCCAAATTGGTGATGACCAGGATGATGTCGAGGGTTTGATGATGCCATCGTCAAGCATTTTATTTATTTGGCGTTCTACTTCTGGTTTATGAACGTCAGGGAAGCGGTAAGATTTAGTGTTGATTGGTATGGAAGACGAGGTAGGAATTTCGTGTTGCAAGACGTTTGTGTAAGTTAATTTGTCGCCAGGCAGATGAAAAATATCGGAGTAAGTACAGCAAAGATCGCATAGTGCTTCTTTCTCTTCTTTGTTTAGGTGTGACAATCTTAAGAGATTTAGAGTTTGATCGGTGCGAGTAAGGACGTTATTTTGTGAACCGTCTGCAAAAGTATAAAAGATTTGATGATTATATTTATTTTCCAAATGTTGTAGCGTTAGTTTTAGATCGGAATCGACGATTAATTCGCTTTCGGAAGTATTTTTTTTAATTTATTTACCATATTACAAAGCATTACAAAAAAACTATACTAAAAAGTCGCATACAGAAAACCACTAAGGTTTGTGATGACGCGACCAGAGTAGACGTTACATTAAGTATAATTAATATAGTTTGTAAAAAGGAAACATTACAGCCTAATTAGGACCTGAGCAAACGCATATACGCTGTTTCAAGTAGTAATTTTTTTTTTATAAATTACACAAAAAGTACATTTTAAGTTTTTTTTTAATGTTTTTTATATTTAAGTTATCGCGGAAATCTGGGGGTAGCTTGTTTATAAGTCGTGGAACAATGTAACTTGCTGTTCGTTCCCCGTACATATTGTTTGCCTGGCTCGTCTGCAGCTTGCGGCTGCTTACGGCGCGCGTACACACGGGTTGCTTCATTTCTAATTTTAACTTTTCATTAAAAAAGTTTTTTTTTTAAAAGTAAATATTTGACTTGTGTATGAACTGGTAGTATATTGCTGTGCTTAAAGAGCATACTATCGTCATCATGAAATTGACGTCGAATCTTGTCTGTTACAATGTTTTTAAGGATTCTTATCTGGAGGTTATATATTTTGTTTAAATAAGTATTAAATGTACGACCATAGCTACCTAAACCATACTGTATATAAGATTCTGCCAGAGAGTTATATAACATCATCTTAACTGGGAACGGAATTCTGTTCTTCAGTATTATAATATTAGCTAAGAATTGTCTTAACTTGTTACAAACACACTCGATGTGGTTATGCCAAGTAAACTTACTATCGATCTGCATTCCAAGATATGTATGGGTATTGACGAGATCTATAGAGGGGCAACTGCAAGTGTTTTTACAAGACCAGTGAAGGCAATTATGATCGTGAGCAACAATGTGCTTGAATACAGTACACTTGATATAAGGAGACTTTATGTGTAACAGCTTGGTTTTAGAGGAGTTCAGAACCAATCCGGCGTCATGACACCATTTTGCAAGCATATTAAAGTCAGACTGTAACAGGTCACATGCTATATCAGGGTCTTTATCGGCGACTAGCAAACATGTGTCATCAGCAAACTGGTAGCATGAACAGTGATTTATGTAAAAATGCATGTCGTTTACATATGATAGAAAATGGAGGGGGCCAAGCACAGATCCCTGTGCTGTGCCTTCAGTTACAGTCACTGGGTCGCTGTGTGTGTCATTTATTCTCACAGAGAATTTCCTATTTTTGAGATAATTTGTACACCATTTCAGAAGAGGTCCCCGTATTCCACAATCGTCCAACTTAGTGATGATTTTTTTATGATCAAGAGTGTCGAATGCCCGTGAAAAGTCAATAAATAGGACGAGTACATGGTTTTTGTTATTTAGATACTCGTTAATTTCATCTGTTAACTTCATCAAAAGATCATTTGAACCCTTCCCAGCTTGAAAACCAAACTGATTTTCATATATTACATTGTGCGTATTGTAGAATTTATAAATTTGTTCACACACATACTTTTCTACAATTTTGTTAATTGAAGATAATAAGGTGATTGGTCGATAGTTCAGGAAATCATCCCGTCTTCCTTTCTTGTATATTGGTCTAACACATCCTATCTTTAGTTCGTCGGGATAAATGCCAGTTTCAACACTTGTATTAATTAGATTGGCAATGGCCGAGGCCCCTTCTGTGTCCATACATTTTATATCAGAAACCCCAATATTATCAGAGCCTGGTGCCTTTTTAGAGCTAAGTTTTTTGATTATTTTATTAACCTTGTCACGGGTTGCTTTTTGAAAATATATACTAGAATTATTTGGCCGAGAATACATACTGGGACTTAACAAATTCGAGTTACAGGTTTGAATTATGTTTTTTACAGCGTTATCAAATCCCATTGCAAAGTTATTTGCGATATCTTTGATAGTTTGCCCTTCAAAGGCTTTTAAAACTGCCGCATCCACTGATGATGTTACAACGGAGATATTAATTCTTGAATTTGATTTCACTTTTACGATGCAGTTAGCGATTGCAGGATGCAGGAGCGAGTCTACGGGGTTCTGATCGAGAACAAGTCCTTCTTTAATGTCCGGATTTCTTACAGAACACTCTATGATAGTTTCACATCGAGGTGCAAAAGTATAGACTGGCTTAGTGAAACAAAGCTCTATTTCATCTTTATTTACTTTTAAGGTGTTGTTATCATAATTAATTTTGCAATTTAATTTCATAAGGAAGTCGCTACCGATGATTCCATTATACGAAAAATCAAACGCTGAAAGTACATAGAAGTTATCTTGGTAGGAACAAAATTCAATTGGGATGTGACCAAGGGATCTAACAGAGTCGTTTCCTATACCAGTAATTTCTATAGTATTGTTGTTTATTTCAGGCATCTTTTCTACAACAGAATCTTTAATAATACTGATAGCTGCGCCGATATCGACGAGCAAGGATAAGGATTTCGACGTGACAGAAGTTTGAACTTTTATAAAAGGTAAGTATTTTTTTGATAGATTTGTAGAGATGTTATATATTTTAATATTGTTTTCTTTCTTTTCAGATGCAGGAGACGAAATACTCTTCGATATGACGCCGTTGATAGGCTGTTTGGTAATTGAAGTAGAATTGTTAACTTTCAATCTGTCGGTTTGGTGTAGTTAGAACGAGAATAGAAAATGAGTGAAATGCTGTGTTATGATTGGCAATGGGGTGAGTATCGGCTTCGCTATTTAGTCTTCCCGTGCGATACTGGACGGGAAATCCTTCGCGTTTAAATGATGGTTGGTGTTATCGACATTTTGATCGTCTGTAATAGCAGCGTTGATATGCTGATTACGATTTGGGAAAATGTGGGGCGGTGGACCATTATTATTGTAGTTATTGCGATTATTATTACTATAATTGTTTTGAACGTTACCAAATTGTCGTCGATTATTAGTCTCCCGTTTGCGGCATGTTTCTAATGCATGAGCGTGTATTTTACAATATCGGCACACTGGGTAATCAGTTTTGAACATAGAGGAAGATCCAGCTAAATTATTAAAAGGCCTCTCTCGCGTGGTTGTTTGGTTTTGTTGAAAATTACGACTAGTAAAGCGTCTTTGGTTTGAATCCTGGGTATTTGTTTGACTAAGGTGGCGTCGAGTCACCTGGAATATTTTTTCTTCAGACACGGCAACATTAATAGCATCATTGAGCGTATCGGGATCGCGGCATCAAACTACTGATGATAGACGAGGATTCAAGCCAACCACGAAAGTGTGTAAGCTAAGTCCCGAATTGCCGCGAGGCGGCCTGCCAGTTCACCCTTTTCTTTTGTAGTTATTGATATATTTATTTCCGTTAACAATTTAGACAAACACGTCTCTATTCGCAGGGCGTACTGGTTGACCGTTTCGTTATTGGATGACGACATACTTGTAGGTCTGAAAGGTAGTGCAGCGTAATGTTTTCTGTCACCGAATTGGGATTTAAGAAAGTCTTCTAACTGTGACCAAGATTCAAATATTTTATTCGAGCAAGCACTTTCAGCGCGTCCTTCTAATTGACTAAGTATGTATTTTAAAAGGATATCCCGTTGTTGATCTGACGCGAGGTTCATAGCATTACTACAGTTATTAATAAATGGCATTAATTTTTCTCGGTTGCCGTCAAACTTACTTATAAATTTACAAAGAATATTGAGATCGATGCTTGGTGTCGAAATAACCGGTGTAGGTTCATCTTTAGGCATTGTGATGGAAGAGGATTAGTCAAAACACAGATAAGGTACTCGGCGTTTCGCGTGCGAGTAGTACCGATAAGGCGTTGCATTGGTCTCGAATACAAGCAACAGCACACAATTGTAATATTATAATGTTTAAAAGACACTTGATATACAATGGATTATGTTAAAATGAATGAACGAGTGTAATTGAAATATGAATTAATTTTGTATTTATTTTTTATTTATTTTTTTTGATTTGACTGTTTAAATAAATTAGATTATATATTTTGTAAAGTTTATAAAACATTCAGTATTATTTACAAAATTTAAGACTGTATCATTATAATATTCATATAAAACTGGAGCGGACTTACGGGAATATGTCGGGTTTATGTACTTTTATTTTTTATCAGGATTCAGAAATACGGCGACAGCGTAGAAAACAGCGGAAGTGTGTAGTACGGTTGACTTCGTAGGCTCGGTTTGCGGATGATAAGCAGATGCTGTTTGGTATTCTTATTCTACTCTCTTTCCTTCTTTTTTTCAGTTGTAGAACTTCTAGCATATATTTTCATATGGCCAGGCGGGTATCGTTTTCGGAAGTTCAGCGAAGACACGAGTTTTAAGCGCTAAGTATTTATAGAGATCACAACACAGAATGTTCTAGTAATTGCAAAATTGAGTCCTCAGAGGTACCAAGGACCGTTTATATAACCCTTCACCGTTGGTGGCAACGAATGTTATACGGGGCTTCACGAAATGTCTTTTAAAAAAAACTGTTTAGAAATAACAACTATATTTTATTATAGAATGACACAAGTTAGGAATTGAAATTGAGAGGCGAGTATTTCAGATGAGAGTGTATGACTGACTGGCGGTACTGCTAGTGTTAAAAAGAGAAAGTACCGAAGCTACTAAGCAAGTGCTGACTGTGTGATTTGTGTCAGCGGGTCCCTATTATAAGGGAATCTATAACAGCACGCACCTTGGGGACTGACGAGAAGATCCTGGAATTGATAAGAAAGATAGACACGTTGCACTGGAATATTATCCGAGGTCCAAAGAGAGGAGGAGGACACGTTCATCCTCGAATCTGGCAATTTGTTATATCACCGGGAGGATCATCTGCACCAAGGAGGTGTAGGATCTATCGTCCACAAGTCTCTCCTTGACAACGTTGTAAATATTAGGAGTGTGTCGACGAGGGTTGCGTACCTTATACTCAGAATCACCAAACGGTATTTGCTGAAGGTCATACAGGTTTACGCACTAAACTCGGCACATATCGATGAAAAAGTGGAGGAAATATATGAGGATATCTCTAGAGATGCATTCCTTCAACACCCAATATGCTGTGTTAATGGGAGACTTCAACGCAAAACCAGGCACAAGAGAGAACGGTGAGCTGAAAGTATGAAAATTCGGAGTAGGGTAACGAAACGCAAGGGGCCAGCAGCTAGCCGATTTCATGAAGAAAGAGGGATTCTTTATGATGAACTCTTTCTTTCAGAAGCGGCTCCACAGAAAGTGTACCTGGCCGAGCCCCGACGGTTCGACTAAAAATGAGATTGACTTCATTATGACGACTAGACGGCAACTGTTCAGTGATGTTTTAGTAATCGCGAGGGTAAAAACTGGTAGCGATCACCGAGTGGTTAGTGGCACACTAAACCCAAAAGTTAAGTTGGAGAGGTCACGTCTAATGAAGTCAACGTTCCGTCCCCTCGTGCTCTAGTTCAAAGTCCTGAAACCTTTCAGCTTGAGCTAAAAAACCGGTTTCAGTGAGCAGTTCAGCAGTGGACGATATACATGACAAGCTAGTGAAAACTGTCCATGTGATTAGAGCTAAGTTTTGCAAGACCCGCCGCAGAAGAACACAAAAGCTCTCCGACCACACTCTTAATCTCATTACTGTTAGACGGGAAATGAAGCTACAGTCTTCAGTAGACTTGATAGCATACAGGCAACTAAACAGACAGATCTGCAAATGCATACGGCGCAACTTACGCAACTTCAATACAGCTTGTATTGAAGAAGCGATCGAGTGGAACCAAGGCTCCAAAGTCTTTGCCAGAAAATTGTCTCCCAGAAAGAGCCAACTTTCAAAGCTGAAGACCGAGTGTGGCAGCATCGTTTCCGGGACACCTGAGATTTTGAGTGAGATTGAGAGGTTCTATGGGCAGCTGTACACGTCTTCGTTGGAACCATACGCAAGTGTGAGTAACGATCCAAGAGCGAGTCTTATCCGACACTATTCCGAAGATTTCCCGTATGTCAGTCTGAGCGACATTAGAATGGCTCTCCAGCACCTTAAAAACGGCAAGGCCCCAGGCGTGGATGGAATTACAGCGGAGCTTCTGAAAGCGGGTGGAAAACCGGTACTAAAAGTCCATCAGAAGCTCTTTAATTCCGTCCTCCATGATAACACTACACCGGAAGCGTGGAATAGAAATGCGGTGGTCTTGTACTTCAAAAAAGGCGACAATACTCTCTTGAAGAACTACAGACCGATTTCCCTTCTGAGCCGCGTCTACGTGCTATTTTCGAGAGTCATTACGAATCGTCTCGCGCGCAGACTTGACGACTTCCAGCCTCTCGAACAAGCAGGATTCCAAAAAGGCTTTAGCACCATAATCCACATACATACGCTTCGGCAAATTGTACAGAAGACCGAAGAGTACAATCTGCCACTTTGAATTGCGTATGTGGATTTAGTATTATATATTATTTATATATATATATGATTATATTTATTATTATATTATATATTATGTAAACAAAATAGGTACCTATTATAGAGTACCCACAGAAAATTCGGGTTTGGAATCATGACTGCAGCGACATGACGCGTCGACATGTCGCTGCGACATTTCGCGACGACACGTCGCCTGCTGTTGCTGACTGCGGTCGGCTACGGAATTGTACCTTGACGTTATATCCTCGAAACTCTTAACCGCTGCCTTGGAAGACATTTTCAAGCTACTGGACTAGAAAAGATAGGGTATTAACGTCATTCGCGAGTACATCATCCACGATTTAATCATTATGGCAGTATCGCTGAAAGACCTTAGCACTATGCTCAATGACCGCAATAGTGTCGCCCTACAGATACGTCTTAAGATGAACATGGACAAAACAAAATTCATGTTTAACGTCGGGAATATTTCAATGAAAATAGGGAATCTTCTTATATAAAGGACTTCGGACATCACAATAACATTAAAAATATTTTCTCAAACTATTTTATATTAGCTTAGAGCATCCACCACCTCACCCCCCCCCCCACTTACCGAAGCTGGTATCACTTTACTTTGCTTCTGGGCGCAAGAAAAATAAGATTTTATATACACCTGTCAGGGTTACAATGCCAAGTAAGATTGTGAAGAAATTTTATGAAGGTTTCCGCTCAAAGCTCCTTCCTGATGACTATAAGCGGCGGTAACTTTATTCCTCTCCGGATCTCTTAACTCACCAAACAAAGCACAGCAGCATTTGGCTGCTATTTTATGCTGGTATTAGAGTATGAGAGCGTGGTCCTTCCCCAGTCGAGCCGACCCATTCCTGGTACAACCATTATATAGCTGCAACATTGCCTATCAAGTAGGAAAAATGTCATGATATGATGGAAAATGATATAATTTATAATACTTGACACAAGGTATAGATGAACATAAAAAGTAAAAAAAA